TAGGCATATTTTTCTTCCCAAGTACAAAAGAATATATTTCCATAATTTGCAAATTCTCTTTTTGTTCCTTTCTTTTTGCAAAGGTAACATTCGATTAACTTTCCTTTATGTCCTAACCATTCCATTACTTGTTTTTTCTGAGGTTCATTTTGTCGGAAGTATCTTACATATTCATATGCACATTCTTCACATTCCAATCGAATTCTATTATTTCTTCTTTGTATTCCTATTAAATTATTTCTTGTAAATGGTATTTTACAGCTGCAACAATGATTCTTTTTTGATTTTGATGTTAAAGAGTTTGGGTTGATTAAATGGTTCATTCTTGTTGCATTTACTTCTTTTGGATCACATCCACAACCATTATATTCATTTGCTTTATCCAATGATAATTCTTTGCATTGATATCGTTTATGTCCTTTCATAAGACAATATTCACATTGATACTCTTTGTTCTCATTTAAATTATCATACCAACTTCCATTTTTTAATAATGGAGCATGTGGGCAGTTTCGGTGTGTATGTCCTGTCTTTCTGCATTTATTACATATTGCGTTTGGACAGTCCCAGTATTCATGTTGTCCAAGTGTTCCAGAGCATATTTTACATTGTACACTTCCTGCTCCTTCTGGAGTAGTTGTTCTGGACTCATATGTAGTTCCGTTTGGTACCTGTAGGAGTCTAGTTGAAGAGTCATTTGTGTGACTATTTCCTGGTACTGGTGTTGCTCTAATATCCATGGTTCTTTCATTATTATCTGGAGTTCTTTAAGATACACTTTCTTCATCTCATCCAGATAATTCAATACTAGGTTGACATGGTTGTTCTGTTTCTGTAAGATCAATAGCTTCACTAATTGATCCACCAAATTTTGTTTGGGATCGAAGCTCATTTGAAGTTTCTTTGAGACTTCTGCCATCCTTTCTTGAGGATCGTTGTACTTTCTTAGGTAAGCCAAATTTGTTAGAGTTTTGACTAAGTCGTGGTAAGTTTTTGGTTTGTGGCTGAACCTTACGCCAAGTTTCTGTTCGATATTTTTGATATCTTGGGTTAATTGCAGTTGGGTAGTAGATTCTTCTACCTGTTGTACCCAAGTTACTACCATTTCTTCTTTTGGAATTGTTTTGGTTGTCTGAGGTAATTTCCATGTTTGAGTAGTCATTGGATGTATTCATTGGTTTCTTTGGTTGGTTCTTGGATGTTAGGTAAGATTATTTTGGAGTCTTTTTATAATTTAGGTTTTATTTAGATTTTCTAATTGTTTGGTTTCATCATTTTCCTCTAAAGGTTTATCTTCTGCTTCTATCAATAGATAACTCTTTAGGCATTGTAGGAAACCTTCCCACAAGTTGTTTATGTTTTGTCGTCGCCATATATATTCTGATAGATATGGTTGGAGCTTATCTTTAGCCCTATTTCTGCTTGGTGTCAATATTTTTATGCCAAGCCAGTTTCCTTCAATGGTATTTGTGTGTACACCTGTTTCAGGATCTTTAAAATATTTTGAATGGTTCACGGTTTCATGTTGGTATCTGTACTTTACAGATAAATTTTTGTAACCTTTCCATAGATCTGTGTATATTATTGATCCTTCGTGTATATATGTTCTAATGATATCAGTCAATGTTTTTTCATCACGCTTATCTATTGTTACTACAAATATTTTGCGTTCTGGAGTTCATTCTACGCCTCCAATGACCCATTGACCATTTACAGGTTTTCCATGGTGATACTTTACATGTCCAAATAATGATTCATCTATTTCTACAATGATATCTTTTCCTCCTATCTTATCATGTGTATCATTTATTTGTGACTCAACAAGTTGTCTAATATTGTTTATATTATTTGCTATTATTTGTGTCAAATGTCCAGTCATTATGTGAATGGGTGTTGCTAGCACTTTGATAAGCCATAAATAGTATATTCTAAATACTTCATTGATGGGAATCTTGTGATTTTCAAAGAATGAGAATGTGAGTACAGATTGTGATATTCTACAATCGCATCATGTACAGTTCCATCTCTTATCTTTTTGTTTCATTTCATTCCCACATTGCCAACATTTTTGACTTTTATAGAGAATTCCTTCTTGTTGTAGGAATTTGATACATTCCATCTCATCTTCTAAGATATTCTTTATTTGTTTTTCTGATGGAATCTTTGCTTTGATAGGAAGTTCATTAATAATTTTCTCAACATCATCTTTCATCTATTTAGATGATTTCAAATTCTACAAATGAATTTGTATTCCAAATATCGTCGTATATGAAATATCTATCTTGAGGTGGTTTACAACTTTCTTCTTGTATCATCCAATATTTTTTATCTAGTATTACAAGTGTTGTATATGCTGTTATCAAGTTTCATATTATTTTTCTACTTAAGGAGTAACTTTTCCACCTTGTTTTTTCCTCAAATTCTTCATGAGTTTTATCTATACAATTGGTTTTCTTATAACCCTTTTTATACTTTTTCCAACAATCATCTTATTATTCCAGTTTATTAATTTCTGTATTATTCTTATTTCATTGTATTTTCTAATTTGTCTACTTTTGGAAGTTTTCTATTATGGATTTCGTTGCCTACTCATCATGCGTTCTTCTTGAACTTAGAATTGTTTTTCTTGATGGTTTCATCCGTCTTCTTTGGAAAAGTTCTATCTTTCCCAACTTTAATTCTTTTTATCATCATTTTTGTAAGCAATCTACTTTTTCAGCTGATTATGTTAAGCCTTATCCTTCAAAGCTTTTTTCTGAAGGTTATGATGGAGTATTTAATTTTTTGGATAATTCCATTATTGGTTATTCCAAAGATTATTTTCTTTTTTTTGAAAAGAATATAACTTCTCTTGAAGATTTTATCTTCTTTCTTTTTGAGAATTGTCCTAATTCTGATGGGTTCGCTTCAATCTTTCACTATTATTTTTTAACCCATAATCAACATTCTTGGCCATATGATTTTTTTGGCTCTAATTTTCATAATAATAAGTATACTCATTGTTATACTTCTCTTCAACTTCCATGTAAGGATCTTTCATCAATTTTTGTTGATTTATCTCTTAAAGATGGTAAGGTATTTTCTTGCTATTGGGTTTTCATGCACTGCCGGACCAGAGTAGTTAGGTTTAACTACCTCTGGCCCGCGGTGCATGGTGATTGAATATTTTATTCTAATCCTTACTTTTCATTACAGATCCTTCTACTATTAAGGTTCATTCTTCTAGAATTTCTCAACCAGTTTTATCTGGAATTGATTGTTATGATGCTCTTGATCTTTTCCAAGATTCTTCTGCAAATTCTGATCAAGGATATGATTCTGGTCCAGAAATCTATTCTGACCAAGGGTATATTTATATTGATTATTATTCTCGTAATCCTGACGAGAGTATTGATAATGATGATTATAATATTTATTCTGATTAAATATATTTTAATAAAGGATTATTTCTTATTTTTGAGTTGCTTTAACTCTTCCAATTGTTGTAACTCATCTGTTGTTCCTCTAGTTAGGAAATCTGCTGCAAAGTTTTGCGCTCCTTCTATTCTATGTATATAAAGGTTGACCGTTTGTCTGAGTTCTGCATCATAATTGTCTAATGTTTTGTTAACATATCGACCAGTTTTATTTGCTGTAACTCCTGTTGCATCTGAGTACACATGTAACTCTTGTGTTCCTATGTAATGTTCCCATTGTTTTACAAAGTAATATATTGCATACATTTCTTTTAATATTGTTGGCCAGTTTTTCTGTATTGCAGATAGGCCATGTGACCCAATTTCTATAATGGTTTTGTTATACCTTGGTGGTTTGGAAAAATCATTAAGTTCACTTCGCAATAAATCTTTCTTTTTTAGAGATTCTTTAACTTTCCAATGATCTCGTGATTCATCTTCTTGTTGATATAGTATTGCACCTATTGCATAGTCTGAAGCATCTGTTTCCATAAAAAATGGTTTGTTTGGATTTGGGAATGATAGTAGTAATTCATTTTTGACTCGTTGTTTAAGTTCTTCCATTGCTTTTTGACAATCGTCAGTTCAATTAAATTTAGCTGTTCCTACTAATCCATATAGTGGTGTTGCCACTCTTGCAAAGTCTAAAATAAAGTATCTAAAATAATTCATAAACCCTAAGAATCTTTGTAATTCTGTTTTGTTTTTTGGAGTAATAAATTTGTCTACTTCTTTGATTTTTAAAACATTTTTTCCAATTTTTTCATATGACACTTTACAATTTAATATAATTGTTTCTTGAACGAGAAATTCGCATTTTGATGGTTTGATTTTCAGGCCCGCTTTTTTTTAAGCATCTTAATGTCTCTGTTAATTTTACTTAAGCCTCGGATTTATCGTTCAATAAAATTACAAAGTCATCTATGTAGATTACTACATAGTCTAAGTGTCCTAGTATTTTGTTCATTGCTCGTATCAAGTATGCTGATGCTGTGCTTATTCCAAATGGTAACGTATGCCAACAGTATGTTCCATACTCTGCGAAGGTAGTCGCTGTATATTTCTTTGAGTTTTCATGCATCACTAATTGCCAGTATGCTGATTTAATATCCATTGTTATATAGTATTTGTATTTACTAACAGTTTGCAACATTTGCTTGGAGTCTGGTAATGGTTCTCTATATTGCTCTAAGTACTTATTTAGATTTCTATAATCTATTGCAATCTTTTTTGTTCCATCTTTCTTTGTTATTACTAGTGCAGAACTTCCCCATTCAGTATTTCCACTGAATATAATATTGTTTTTCATCAGATCATCTCGCATTTCTTTGATAACCTTTTTATCTTCTTCATAATATTTTCTCAATGCTTGCCTCTTTTCTTGCATTGGTATTTCATTTTCCTTTATTCCATTTTTTAAGTTTAATTCTATTGGAGGTATTTCATCAGTATTAACTCTAGTTGCATATTCTTGTTTTTCTCTGAAAACATCAACATATTCTGTAAGAATATGACCAATTTGTTCCCATGTTCCAGGTCCTCCAGTTTTTTCACATTGATTCTTTAGAATCAAGATTCGTTCTTTTTCTTTTTCACTCTGATCTTTCAGATCAGGTAATTTAGTGAGAAAAATTTCATCATTTTTCTGTATTGTCTCAACATTTTCAATATGTTGTTCTTTGTTAAATTTCACATTTCTACTCGATATATTCATTATCGTTATGTGACTATCATTTGCTATTCCAGGTTGGATGATTATTCCTTTTTTAGCAAATTCTACAGGGGTACCTATTTACCCATTTTCTACAGGGTTTTCTATCCTGATATGTCCTATATTCATAGGAGGTATCTCTGTATTTTCATTACAGAATACCTTATAATTTACCTGTTTTCCTTCTATTATAGTTGGTAAGATTATATGTCGTATTTCTATTGGCATTTCTTTGAAATGTCCATACAGACTATCGTTTTCTTCATCTGTTTCTACTATTCCATACCCTTTATTTGTTTCTTCTTCTTTTTCACTTTTGTATTCATGCTGAATACTTTCATAATTTTGTCATACCACTTCTGGTGAAGTGTATGCATATGCTTTTTGCCATTGTTCATCTGTTAAATCACTATTTCTTGCTACAGGATATTGTGCTGTTTGTCCATTCCATGGTATTTCTAGTATTCTAGTATCCTCATCTTCATATCTTATTGGTTTTGAGGATTCTCCTATTTCTTTTTGATTATTATACCTATTTTTATAATAATCATTTACATCATCTTCTATGATGTTATCTAATTCATTCATTTCTTTTTCATCTTCAGATGTTATTTCTT